GGGCCCCTCCAAAATTTCCATTCCGCTGTCCAAAACATTCAATCCACATACCCCACCACCGTCTCGTAAACTCCGTCTTTTCAAATTCCTCCACACCCCTATATGCACCATTCTCCATGCTGATATTTTGCACCACCACCATCACCAATGAACAGACCCACCACCCGCCACCGGCCCGCTCTTAAAAATAAGCCAAAACCACCGTCCATAAACAGTCATTCTCCCAACGGCGTCGTCACAAAGCACAGAGATTCTTCAGATATGAAGAAATCATCATCTTCCTCTGCTAAAAACTTGTGTTCTTGCCTTGGTAATGCACGTTTCTTGAAATGGAGGGTCGGTGACATATGTGGTGTGGTAGTGCACCACCCCGTACCCTGCATCTTCGCCGCCTTATTACTGTTTTTCATGGCGGTTGAGTACACTCTCCGCATGGTCCCGCCCACCGCGCCGCCGTTTGATCTCGGGTTTATTGTCACCAAAAACCTCCATCGTTTACTCGAATCTCGACCGGCTCTCAACACGATTCTCGCTGGCCTCAATACGGTATATGTGTAAACATACTCATCTTAGTTTATTTTTGGTAAAATTTTTGTAGATTATGAGTTGTGGATGATAAATCTGTAGATCTTACATCATATGTTCCTAAAAATATTCACGAATGATCAACTTCTAAACCAGAAAAATCATTAAGAAACATACTCTAATAATATTAGACTCGACAGATAAAATACACGTATGCCCACGACTCAGTAACATGAAATGAAAATTTAACTTCTTGTTTTCGGATCTAACTTTGATTTTAACATGAAAGCCTACATTTTCTTCTACTTATTTGGTGAGTAATTAATGGCATTTATTAAAAGTCAAAGCATGTTAGATTTTGATATGGGCATGATAGTGCATTTAAAGTTTTTACTTTTCATACCTACTTTTTTATTTTATAAAAATTGATTTATTTTTCGAGATGGTTCTTTTTGCGGAATTATATATATAATTTGTTTGAGTTTTGTGGATCGAGTAGGTTTTCGTAGGAATGCAAACCACGTACATACTATGGACGTGGCTAATGGAGGGTCGACCGAGGGCAAAGATCTCAGCTTTGTTCATGTTCACATGCAGGGGAATACTTGGATATGTCACACAGCTATCATTGCCCGAGGTTAAGCTCGTCGCATAAGATCTTTATATTCAAATTCGATATTTTAAAATATGAAATTGTTGTGTTTGAAGACGGAAAGGAATAAAAATATAACACACAACGTCTAGGGTAATTAGTAAATTGTATAAGGCTCGAGATATGAGGATTATGAATCTCAATGAGAAATAGGCTGAATTAGCAAATTGGCAACCAAAATGCACAAATAAGACACGTTATATCTATTTCAAGTGCATATTTCATTTTCAATCGTAGTAATAATGGTTATGAAATTCCACGAGAGAACTGTATTCTATGATCTATATGGATGACTGGTTTAAAGTAAATTTCCATAAATTTGTTTTAGAATAATTGAGTACATGAAGTTTTTCTTTTTAACAAGCAAAAATTAACTTTCTAGTTTCTACAGTATAAAAAACAACAACAACAACAATAATAACAATAATAATAATAATTAAGTGAAATTTTTTGTACGACATCTCCCGGTTTGTTTCTTTACTGGAAAATTGATATTGTCCTGAAAAATCCGACATCTTTAGGACAAATGGGTTGTTAATAAATAACAAATTCCAGTACTCAATGCTAATAGAATATTTTTACAGACACTGTTGCGCCTTCCCTTGCATAGATAATTAATGCTAATTATATTGTAGTTTTATCTGCAGATGCGTCACATTAAATAGGTTTTACAAGTGATAAGATTGTTGAGTACACGGGGTCATTACACGAATGATCTGGCTGTTGGCATTGGTGGTGGAATACTATTTGATTCTCTGGCCGGAAAGTATGAAGATAGCAAGGAAAGAGAAGCGTCATTATTCACTAGTGCCACCACCTATGGTTCTTTCTACGACTCTCATAAAGAACGAAATGGTGAGTTGTTAGGTTAGGAAAGAACCAGAAATTTGGTCTTTATCTAGTGAAGATACTAGTGTTACTTGGAAAATTTAAAAGTTAAAGGTCAATTTCTTCTATCCGTGATTAAAGTTGATATCCTAGTTTTTCCATCTTTTTCCGCCATTTTGAGGAAAATGTTTTCTCGTTGGTGGTTTTGGTTTTCAAGCCCTTTTTGTTTTTTTTTTTTTTGACAATTTAAACAAATTCTATCTCCATAATTGACAATTTTCATGGAAAACAAAACTGAAAGAACACCAAAATTTCAATATTTTCTAGTTGGAAAATATATCAATTAAACATATTTCATTGACAATTCACAATAAAACAAGTTTTAGGCAATTCAATTCCTTGAAATTCGTCATTTTCCATCCAAATTCCATTCTTGCAATTAAATGGACTCTTAGTGCTTTATGTTACTTTTGGCTCGTTAATAATTCAATCATCTTAGGTTCAATCATCAGCAAGTGTTTTGGTTCGATTGTGAGGCTTCGATCTAAAAATTCGATTTTGCCTATGTGAAATTTTGAGGTTTGATAAATAGAGCTTGGCCTATGCTATACAATTATGATGAAGCTTATTCTCAACTTGTAGTGCCATCATTTTGACTATGCACAGGCCACCTTTTCTTGTGCCCTCATGGGAACATTATATGCCATAGAACTGTACGAAGTAAAAAACATTAAGCCCCATTGGTAGGTATTAAAATCTAAATTTTTATGAAAGTTAAAGTCAACAATTGATTTTGGAAAGATTTCACTAATATGAAAATAGAAAAAAACTTGTCAATTTATCAAATTTTTGCAAAAAAATGTCATTTTTTTGTGCAAAAAGTCCAATTTAACCTTGTAATTACCTTTTTGTATGCATTTAATGCACAATTAATGCTAAAATTTGACGGTAGTCTTGTTGAAAAAGCTACCCGTGGATCTAGTAATTACACAATGGATAATAGATTTATTAACCAAAAAAAAATCAATAATATTATTTCATAGCATTTTCTTGAAATGATGAAGTGAAAATTGCACTAAAAAAAATATATGTGTACTACTTCTTAACCATTGAAATATCAAAGTTGATATTATAGTAGATTCATCTTTCAATTTGTTGTTAGCAAATACATTATTGAATGTTTTCAACTTATAACTTAGTAGTTTTGAATCTTAAATCCTACATCACATCACATCATAAATTATTCTTCATTTATTAATTTTGTTTAGCTTTGTGAATTTTTTTTTGAGAAAACATAACTAGTTTAAAGCACAGAAAAGTATGAATATTCCACAATATGGTCAATGTTCGTAGGTCCTGAGCTTTTCAATCCCAACGATTCGAAAGGATCTTTTTCATGATTCTATTCCATTACCACCGTGTTCGAGATATGACGTGGTCCTTGGGTACAACATATGCTCGAGCATTGAATATTGCATGATTACAATATTTTATGGCCACCATCCTTGGGATATGTCCTTGGGTTATGTGAACTACGCAAAGACGTGATGTCCTCGAGCCTTTCGTTCAATCAAACCCGAGACCATTTCACTTCTAAAAGATTCCTAAGTCCCTGGGATCCTAACACTATCTAAGTACCTCAACCCAAGTCTCACATGCTTAGCAAGACTCCATCTTAAATATGTTACCATCAAGTTATGATTGGCCTACAATTATAGTACAAGTCCAACACCCCTCTCAAGTAAGACTCTTTGAGATGATAATATTTAACTAATTTAGTGCTACTAGGAGTATACTACATACCTCTATAAATATAGACGTTCAATTCATTATTCAGGTATGCTTTTGCATAATTATCGGTCATAATCTCAATCATAATTCTCTCTCTAATTGAAGCATCAAAGGGACAACAAGGACACACCTCGATGCCTTTTTTTCAAGTACCAAGAGATCTTGTTCATGTAGCTATGATTTTTGGTAGCATCATTGGTGCCCACTGTGGGAAACGCTACCAAAAGCCATGGTTAACACACGTTGAAAAATCATCTGAAATATTAGATCCCTAGCCAATAGTTATTACCGCTAGAGCCTTTGAAGAGCTCTATTAACATGTTGTCATGTTAACTCAACTGCTACGTCAAAGAAATTCACATCTATCACCCACACCAGGGCACGAAGAGTGTTTTATGGCCAATGCTCCAGCTCGGGCTCCACCCTTGTTCCCAATGTCGATGGAGCTAGAACCTCAGATGTACCCCATGTGGCCTAGCCCCCGAGATCAGTAACTATGGAGTCTAATAAACTTGCCAAGATCACTAAGAAAGAATTATGGATGGCCTACTTAAGAATACTAAGGGATGAACATGTTTAACTCCATTCATTTTCGAGACATTGTTATACCTATTACCGAATAGATTCAAGTATCCTCGCGCATGTTAGGACAATTGACCCAATCAACTATCTCAATGTGTAGACTAACATCATGAATTTGCAAGTTATATCGGACTAGGTGATGTGTAAGACTTTTCCTCAAGCTTTGACTAATGCTGCCAAGGATTGGTTCTCGACCTTAGAGCCCAATTCCATAGTCTTATTCTTAGATTTAACCAATAAGTTCTTTGCCTTCTTTACAAATAGTAAACGCATCAGGAAAATGATAGCTTGCCTCATGCAGCTTCGCTAAGGACAAAATATAACCATACATGATTTTATGATGAGATTCAATAAAGAAAGGCTCCAAATACCTAACCTACATATTATAGCAGTTGTTTTTGCCCTCACATATGTCATAAGGAGTGAGACATTCAAAATGTCCTTGTCAAAGAATCTACCAAAGTAAGTGATTGAGTTCCTAACCTGAGGTGAAAAATACATTAATATGGAGAAAATATTTAATTCGAAGAATATAAAAGGACCAACCAGAAAAGGCAATATATTTGAGTCTACGATAAAAATTCAATCTAACCTTTGGGGATTCGATGGTAGTGTAATCATCCCGCAGGGGCCGTCAAGCTTTTTCTAACCTCGGGTTCTGATAAAAAATAGGTGATAGAGATCACATCTTTCTAGGTAGTTCATGCTTCGATGACCTACAATGCCATCTTGGGAAGACCACTGCTCAATAAGATTAAGGCTATTGTATCAATATTCCACCTCAATAAGATTAAGGCTATTGAGAAAATGGAAAATATTAGTGTTGAACTCCATTATTGACAGATATACAGACATCAAGGTTGTTTTAGAATATGATAGGGCTGAACTTGCTACCGATGTTATTATAAATGCCTAAGGAATAAGGAGAATCACAATGGTGATACTTTATTGATGAGAGGAAAGGGTTTTGGTAAACCTAATTATTACTCTAAGACCTTTAATGAAAATAAAAACAAATGGAGTGATAAAAGTAAATCCAAAAACAAGGCTAAGGGTAAGAAATGTTTCAACTGTGGGAAACAGGGTAATTTTATTAAAGATGGTTATGAAAAGAAAAATGAATCAAAAGAAAAGAAAGTTGATGATGGGAATGCTACCTTAGTCTGCCATAAAGACAAGGCTGAAGATGGGTTAGTCCTTGTTAATGTTGAAAAGAAGCTAAATGATGATTGGATCCTTGACTCAGGGTGCTCTTTCTACATGTGCTCAAATAAGAATAGTTTTCTCGAATTTGAAAAGACAACTAGTGAGCAAGTTATAATGGGTAATAATATGACCTGCAAATTGAGTGGAATAGGAACCATAAAACTGTTATTTGAAAATGGTAGAATCCTATTTTTAAAAGGAACTAAGTTTATTCCAGACTTAGAAAGGAATCTGGTGTCTCTAGGAATGTTAGATGATATAGAGTTCAACATTAAATTGGGCCAAGAACATATAAAAATTCTTAAGGGCAATGACTTAATCATTAGCACCCCCAAGATACATGGTCTCTATTTTTATAAAGCAGAACCTTTACTTAGCTTGACTGCAGCTACTTTAACTGAAAATTTTACCTTTGCAAAATTATGGTATGAAAGAATTGGCCATATTGACAAGAAAGTATAAAAGGTTCACAAAATAAAGGAGTGTTTCGAAATCTAAATCTTGGTGAAAACAAGCTAAGCTTCTCTTCTTGCTTGGAATTCATAAATTCAAACAAATACTTGAATACTTACATACTG